GTTATGAAAAGTTATAAATATAAAATTTGAATGAATTAGAAGTTTACATTGTGGCTCGTTTCATCTTAATTTAGAATTAGATTGATTCTACCGAATTTAAATTATGTCATTCATGTAAAATGATATATATTGTTTTAATACTTCAAACAAAAAAAAAAAATTATACATTTATTTTATACTAACTAAAACAAATCAAAAAATTATTTCAAATACATTGTAATTATAGTACTTCGCAAATCTATTACATTATATTTTACTTTCAGTAATCCAAACAGTTCCTATATTGCAATGAAAGATTGAGCTCCTACCCCTCTCAATACATAAATTTATACTAATATTCCTCGTATAAAAATAAAAAATAATAATAATCTTCCAAATAATAAATAATATTGCACAAAGCCGTAATAACATGTTGCACAAAATCACGAGGCATCTTCACTCTGGACTTCAGCCTCCAATCTGAACTTAAGAACTTTGTGAACACTAGCAACGTGTCTGGTTTCCTCATCTGTGCTACCAATTTCATTAATGTTATCAATGGCCTTACCACAGAATAAATAAATAAATATAAAATAATAATAATAAAAGAGGTTTGCGAGGTATTCAGACTCAGCAAGTTCATAATATTTGGAAGAAAAAAAAAATGAAGAGCATTCAGAGAATTCTCTCAAAGAAGCAAGACAATCTTGGTTCTGGTCTCTGATAGCTTACCTCTTTGACTGAACAAAATGCATGTTCCAACCGTCTCTTCATATTCACCAATCTGTTCAGAAACAAAAGCATTATGAGAGTTTTCTCCAATCTTTCTATGCACCTGTGTATTAATGGCTAAAATATGTGGCAATATTTACATCCAAAATGTTAATGGAACTGATTGCTTACCAACTTCAGACGACTCCCAATAGTAAGTGTAGGATTTAGCGTGTCCAAACCCTGCATAAAGCCATGCCATCAGATTAATCACTCTGACACAGTATGTTGGAAAAGGTTCATGAATGAATGTATACTACTTAAAAAACAAATTGAAATTTACATACATACCACACAATTCTTATGTACTAACATATCTAACACCCAATGTTTGATATTTACACTTATAACCTATGCATGAGAATGTATTTCACTTATAAAAAGAGTGATGGTGATATTTTTTTTTATCTAATGTTAAAGATTTGAGTGATATGAATGTAAACATGAATGTTTGTGTTAGACGTGCAAACATATGAAAATTGTGTCGTATACATGTAAATGCCCCCAAAAAATCAAAAACAAAAACAAAATGTTCTTCAAATTACTAATTACTAGCCCGCCGCTACATTCATGGCCACTAGCTATATCCCAACTATTTCGGGGCACTCTTTGAATCCTCATTGTTTATTCTTTCTTGCAAAGGGTTTTATGAGGTGTTTCTCCTCTTGATTGTACATGTCAATGATTGCTGATTTTATAGGGGACAAAATGGATGACCTCTATCAGTGTAGTTCCAAGAGAGGCTCCGCATCCCCGCTTCTACTAGTTGTTATAAACCAACGAGTCCTAAAAGTACTAGACATTCAAAACCCACTTGATTTAGAAAAAAATTTAAGATAAAACCTCAAAAGGAGGACTTCCAAGCTTATTGTTCAAACTAAGGCAAAATTTTAAAAATTGGTCTCATAATAATTTGCAAAAAAATGACTGAAATGAATATTAAAATCAAGCTTACCTGGCCGATGGTGGAGTGACATGATTCCCACATCGCATTGTGGCTTGTTTTTCAATGTTTACAAAGAAAATTGAAAGTATTTACAGATCAACGGTTTAATTATCTTTTTTTTGAGATTATATAAGGCCATATGTTCAGGCAAGGCCACATAATTTATTTTTATTTTTAATTATTATTATTTTAATGATGTTTAGGGTTATTTATTAACTTTAAAAAATAAAAAATATCTAATATGTATATTGTGTTAATAAAGGCTTATTTGTTTAGTTGGGGTGGCTCCAACTTTTTAAAAATGTAATTGTAAGATTGTGGTGGAGAAAAAACTTAATAGAAAATTACGTTAGAAATATTTTATACA